ATAAATAAATCTTAGTTTTTATTCAGAGCACTGACACATTTAAGTGAAGCAAAACCAAATGTATGTTGTTTGGTGGTAAAAGGCCCAACACTGAGATAAGCTTTTTAGCACTTGTGAAAGTTTGAAATTATGAAGTTTTTTGGAGTAATAATAGATGATGAGGTTTGTTGGAAGCCCCATTTAAATGATGTAAAACAGAACTGTTTTTTATTTGCTGTTCTTTTCATATGTGATGCCTAATATGACCCACTTTGCTGGAATTTGGGGAAATATAGTATATAAAACAAACCTTGATTCAATAATTAAACTGCAGATAGGAAGTGTTAGGATAATAAATCAAGTTTAATAATACAAATTAGCTTTTCATAAGATCACAAAAAATAACATTTCTGGTTATTGTATATTTAAAAAACTGTTGAAATTATGTTTTGGGTGGTAAAGAAGACTAGTCCTGTTTGTATTGAAAAAATGTTTAAGCAAAGGCAGATTTATAAATAAAAGGGATTGCTAATGATTGAAATATACAAAGTTTCCATCTGAAATATAGATGTGTGTTTTGTGTGCAAAATTGTTGAATCGACTAAACGATGAAATTAAGATGTGACATTCTGTGTTAATTTTCAAGAAGACTTTAAAATCTAAAATAATTAAAGCTTAAAATGAAATTTGACTGATTTTAAGCTCTCCTTTGTTTTGTAATGATGTACTAGTACTGTTTTTTTTTATTTTTTTGTGAATTAGTCTTATGATAGATTATAAGCTTTTTGGGCCTCAACCTAGTTTTTTCTGGATAAATTATTTATAAAAATTGAGTTTCAATTTTGTCTTTAAACCAAAATAAAACATTTGTTCATTCATTTAAACAGAGCTTTGACAAATTTAAGTAAAACCTAAAACAAAAGCAACAAACAACAAAAAGCAGAACCAAATGAAGGACCTTGAGGTGCACTAAAATGACCTGAAACTATTTCAGGAGAGGTTGATTATATATAAGGGCATCAAACAGCCCTTAAGGTTAGGCAAATAGCTCATAATCATAATATTCAATCTTTACTAGTCAGTGATTTCAAGGCAGAAAACCAACATGTTTAAATTTTTCTTTATTTATTACAGAAAATATCAAAACTCTAATCTGCTACAAATATTTGCGTACAAAAGAGAGTCATTCATGAAAATAAATATGTCTGTGCAATTTATCCGTATTTTGACTGAAAGTGGAGAAACACTGAGATTCACACGGATTAAACATCACAAAGCAAAACGGCAGAATATAAAGGTCTGCTCTTTTTTTCATTGGCTGCTAACTGTGATGCAATATTATTCATTTCCACTGCAAACAATTATCTTATCACCTTTAACTACCTCATTCAACATATTGTGCCGTACACAGCGGATACTATGGGTATCGCTTCACATCGTAAATCCTTCCTAAAGTTTCTCTAAAATATACATTTACAAAGTCTGACAAAACAAAAGGCAGAAACACTGTAAAATGGAAGCCATCATTCCCTGTGGGACCTTTTCTCTTCCTTTATGAAAAATATTGAACTTTACAACTTAACATATTTCAAAAAAACAAATAAAAAGACATCATCTCAGTCTGTTTTTTCTGGATTCTTGCAAATTACAAACTTTCATTGACTTTTAATGATTGCACCACTTATTTTTGCAACTTTAAATTCTTTGCATGTCGTAGAAATGTCTAATAATGTGCAACAACAATTCAAATTGTCATACAAATATTTGAGAAGGAAAAAAAAACTTAATAGTTATCATTCTCTTAGGTATAGCATTTCATTAAGAAACATTCAAACTACATCCTTCTTTTTTTATTGGTTTCTGGATAAGAGGTCAAGAGAAAAAAAAAAAAAAAAAAACAGAATATAACCTGTTGCATTACCATTAGCAGATTTTTTACAGGATGCAAAATAAAACTTACAGAACCAATGCACATTCCCTTCAAAACACAATTATGTTTTTTCTATATATATGCAATTATATTGTTATCTTATATGAAATGCATTTGCACCTTTTTATATTACTTTAACACTTTGAGGAGCACCCAACATATGAAATGCATCACATCAAATAAATCCTATAAATATGAACTTTACAAGGCTGAAATCTAATGAAAATGGCTCATCAGCCATGTTATGTTCACAAAAATCTGAATGGTATTTGGGTTTTTTTAAGACTGAAAACTGTAAATGACAATTAGGTTTATCGACTCCTTTCATAATACAGGAATCACAGTTTTTTTTTTTTTGCATTGATGTTTAGCAACATTTAAATGAAATAACTCAAAACAAAAAAAAAGAATCACAGTAGCATGCTGGAGGCAAACAATGGCTAGATTAGACCCTAAGGCTTGGCAAGAATTACCTTCTTGTAGGAATCAGCTTATAAATCGGGTGTCTATTTGATTACTTCTATGTTACCATACCTGGCTCCAACGAGTTGCTGTATGATTATTATTGAAGCAGAATTATGCTTAATATTGAGGTCTTCCAACATTTAGAAACTGAATCAAAGCCACAGATACCTAACTAATCTGAACGCTCTGAGAAAGTCACATGATGTCTCATGCAAAGCCTGAGTTTATGTGTAGAACACTGTAAAGGTTTGTTGGCTTTGATATGTCATTTAAGGACTTGCCCTGCATGATAATTCACATATTAATGACATCAGAGATTCATAAATGCAGCTCAGTCCGTATTCAAAGTAGATCCCAGAGCAGGTTTAGGTTCACTCTTTGAAATGTGCCTCTTCCAGTCAGATCAAAGCGGACACTGTTTTCGGGGGGGGCAGTGCAGCTTGCAGACAGGTTGCAGGATCCTGCTGGTGTCAAAGCCGTAGAGCTGAGAACTATGAAGACCAGGTTATGTCACCTTGATGGCAGATTTTTTCTGAACGCAGAGCAGAGATACATATGGCACCCCAATGAAAGCCCACTTCTCGTTGGGCCAGAACATGATGACGGGGCCTTGCTCTGGGGCCTCGGTAGCCACATGGAAGTAGGCGAAGCAGACGCAGCCTAAGTAGGAGGCCAGACAGATGAGGATGTGCCTGTGGGAGCAGGAGGACCATCAGTTTTTCATTTTTTCCAGAAAATTGTCTTAAAAAGTCTTCCATCTAACCCTTCTTTAGACATTTTTCACCATAAAACTTTATGTGATAGATCAACACAAAGTACAGCACAATTGAAGAGAAAGAAACAATGCACTGCAAAAAACTGATATCCAAGTCAAGTTTTTCTTAAAATAAATGCATGTTTTAAAATTAAGGAGGTAAGTGAGATACTTTGCCAATGGAGTAAGGCGATTTACATTTCAAATAAATCAATTGTGTTATTTCAAGTGAATAACATCAAATTATCTTATTTTGGGAGTAAAAATACTAATTCCATCGACAGATCATCTTATTCACCAACTGAAATAAAGGTAAATACACTTAATTTAAGAAATTTGTACTTGTTTTTAGATAGTTTTCTAATCAATGCAAATCTGAACATTGGTTCAATCTTCCAACCAACAATAAATAGATACGCAAATATTTTTTAGCTGATATTAGCATTACATTTTCTTGTTTTTGTATCCGCATTGGCTAATATGTGCAATATGCAATATCTTCGATATTTTAATTGTTCTTTATGATTCAGTTGAGACTTTTGTCATATTTGTTAATATTGCCTCATTTTGATCACATAAATTGAGGAAAACAAAACAATATCGGTCTAAAGATTCGGCCCAAAGTGTGTCCAAGCTGAAAGGTAGTGAGTGTCCTCTCTTAAAAATATCTGTTATTTTTGGTTTTCTTACAGACACAAATGATAAACTATGTGAGGTGTTTGAGTTGGGCTTACCAGGCACAATGCAAATAGGGGAAGTTGACTGAAGACCACATTTCACAGAATATCCTGTCGCTGATCCAGCAGAGCAGAGCTAGCGCCCACCAGATCCCCGAGATCAGCCCCAGCTTGAACACACGGTAGTTTTCACACCTGCAATGAGAGTGAGCTGAGAAATGTGTGCAATTCTGGAAACTAACACACAGATGAAAGGTCACGATGTAATCCCAGAGGAAAAAAAAAAAAAGATGGAAACAGCAAAGCACCTCTGATTTCACAAGAACCCGATCCTTTTACCCTAAATGCTGGGTTTTTTTCAGTCCATATTTGACAGAAATTTTATCAAATCTGCATATTTGTGTGTTTTTGTTTTGTTTTCTGTCATGATTTTTTTATGTAAACCCATATGTTTCTGTGTTTAATATGCTTGGTGTATTGTTATAACAGCATTACAAATAGTGACCACAGCCACATTCAATAAATGTCTGAATTGGATACTCTTTGCTTTGCCTTTGGAAAAAGATGCCAATAGTAAATCAGGAAATGTTTGCTCTTTTAAAACAACATAAGACTGTTTAGATTTGCTACAGTGAATCTTAACGTTAACATTAAGATTATGAAAAGAGTGTTTTTTGGTAGAGTTGTTTGACTGTAATAAACAAAAAAAAACTTAAACAACATCTCAAAACACCACGGCCAACAGGACGGTGGAGGGGTGATTATATGGTGTTATTTCCAGCCACAGAACATGGAAATGGTGAGTCATTTAGTAAACCAATGAGAAAAAAATATTTTTAAGAGTAGGAGTTGGGTCACAAACAGGAAGACGACACCAAAAGAAGCTTCACAGAATGGTTCATTAAAACATTGGAAGACTCCAATGACCCAATCAAAGTCCGAACATGGGTCTGACTGAAAGGCTTTGGTCAGACCTGAGGGGAGCTTAGTGAGGAACAAAAGCCAAATAAAGCCAAATAAAATCAAGCAACACTAAAACACCATCAGAATCTGTCAACAGTTAATAATCACTCTGAATTCATTTCTAAAAAATCTAAAATGTGGTTCATTCATGTGAAAAAGAAATGAAACCCTCTTTAAATTCTATATTTTGTATTTAAGAAAAACCTGGGGCGCACTGATGAATTTAGTTTACATAAATGTTCCCTCATGCTTTTATCTTTTCTAAAGGACCTGCTGGAACCTCATAATTTTCTTAGATTCATCCATCCATTTTCTGTCACGCTTTATCCCAAGCGGGGTCGCGAAGGGTTGCTGGTGCCCATCTCCAGCTGTCTACGGGCGAGGGGCGGCGTCCATCGCAGGGACACATAGAGACAAACAGAGACAAACAGGACAAACAACCATTCACACTTAAGGACAATTTAGAGAAACCAATTAATCTAACAGTCATGTTTTTGGACTGTGGGAGTACCCAGAGAGAACCCACGCATGCTCAGGGAGAACATGCAAACTCCATACAAAAAGAGCTTGGCCTGGAGTCGAAGGCTTCTTGCTGCCTTGCAGCAGTGCTTAGCACTGCTGCCTTGCAGCAGTTTTTTCATGACTGTTCCCTCGAAGTGAGGAAATATTTCCCTTTCTGTCCACTGAGAGGGTGTCAGCATTTGGCACAACATAAATTATCAGCAAAATCAAATATAAAACATTGCTGCGTTGAATAGTTCTTACTGCTATTAACATACATTGCTCTTCTGTTCTGTGTGGCAGCAAACCCGCTTTAAGCACATTACTGCCACCTTAAGGGCTGGAGTGTGTTACTCTTGTTAAATGTAATGTGGCTGAATTAAGTGCTTCTCTGACTTGCATTTATTTTTATTGTGATTATACTGAGAATTAAATGTATTTCCTATCAATGACTGAAATGATCCCTGATGTTGCATCATGTGGGAGTTTGAAAAGGGAAAGTTCTGCCTAATCCTCAGATAAATAAACACATCCCCTGACCTACAAAGATGTGCTAATCCAGAGTGCCTCTGATAAACTATTCTTAGCGCTGCCCTCCTAAGAGTCCTTGTGACTGGGGCGGAGACATGGAGGCCTGATCGTTCTGATGGGGCTGCACAGTTCTCTTCTTTTAAAGTCACAATGCTTTACTAGTGCCTTATTTGCTGTGACATATCAAGGACAATAAAGGGTCAAGCAAAAACATGGCTTAACTTTGATGCTTTGCTCACATTGACAAATTGAATAAAAGGTGCTTTATTGAGTTTCGCATCATTCTCCAAGTAGGAGGATGATTTAGCTGCTCTGTCTGCAGCCATGCTCTCAACCAAAGAGTAAACTTCTCTCTGCCTTAAGTTCAAGTAACTGTGTTTTGTCGCAAGTGATGGTACAGTCAGATTGGGCAGGAGATGGAGGGACTGCTCTTGGTCTCTTCTACACTGATACAACAAAAGAGAAACACGAGATGGGAGCTGAAAAGCATTTACTGGTCCATCTATGTTCCAACTCACACTAATGCCCCCTTTGATCATGACTGAAGAGCAAGACCTAAATTCTGGCTGAAATGAAAATGAGCTTTCTTTCTATGGTGGCTAGGCTCACCTTAACTTAAACAGGTGAAGAGGTCCATCATCTGGAATGAAGTCAGGAGCACCTAACTTTTTTCCTCCCTTTAGAGCATTTTCTTAGCACATTCAACTAGTTAAAAAAAACTCCAGGATGAAACAGAACTCCCTGGAGGGCCTTCATATCCCACATGAACCGGCAATGCTAAGGCACAGCAGTTCCCAGCCCTAATCCTCAGGGACCACTGTCCTCCATGTTTTCAGCTTCTGCAGCAATTATTAGAATGGAGATCATGCAATAATTTAAATCAGGGGTTCTGGATCGTCACATCTACAATAATGAGCTGTAGAGGTTTCCCAACCTTCCATCTTTAATACATTTCAAAGAATTCAATGCAAAAAAAGAAAACTCTGTTAAGCAAGTGTTTCTAGAAAACAGAAAACTCCTCAACGTCTCATTAGCAACAACAATGACTAAAACAAAGGAAAAATGTCATTAAACCATCATCAAAGTTGACATATATACACAGCGAGTCTATTTTCCCATGGGAAACAGTCCTGACTGTTCATCAGGGCTCGCTAACTTAACGTACAGATTGTCCTCAGTTGGCCAACACCTCTTCCTGCCAACAGAGACTATCAGCAGGCTGCAGGATATCTGCTCTCCTCTCACATTAGAGAAGTAACAAAGATAAGAAGGGGAGCGCAGTTTGGGTGAGGCATCGCTAAATGAGCTGAATAATTCAAGAAGGAAGAGATCTTACTTTATGCAACTCAAAGCATAAGTTATTGTGGTAGGATTATTAGCTGGTATTGATGCTCTGAATTGTAAACCTTGTGCCAAAATTGAAGCTCTATGAAGGGCTTATTTAAATAGTCTTCCAATCCAAATTAATCTTATGACTTCAGCTCAGTAGAATTTAGCAGTTTAAACGACACATGAACAAGAAATACATACCAGTGATAGTATTGCTTGCATCCAAAGTCAAAACCTAAAAGTAATCTATAAACTAGGATTTCTATTTCAGGGCAGTTTGTTGAGCCAAATTTGCCAATAATAACACCCAGAGACATGTAAACAGGTAAAGTTAATTAGCCCACATCATTTTTCATAAGCAGCTGTTGTCCAAACATAACATCCTTTAGAAATAAATGTAATATTATTAACGTAATAATGTCTATGTCATTAGTAGCTTAGATTTATTGACTGTTTTCTTCTGGGTTTCTTGTTAGTGTGATATGCTGGTGAAGATTCTCAGTCATCCAGGTCAAAGTCATTCCAAAAAAGGTTAAAACCAATCCACTGGACTTTGTTTTCCAAGTCTAAAGATGTTTCACTTCCCATTTTTAATTGAAAAAGCTTCCTGAATGGGAAGTCTTTCGACTTGGAAAACAAAGTCCAGTGGATTGTTTTTTTTTTACTTTTTTGGAATTGCTAGTGTGATGTAACAGCAAAAGCTAGTTTCTATGCATCCAGGCTGGATAAGCACCAATGTTTACCTTTCACCTCACAGAATGAAAAGGAATGCTATAGACGTGCAAGAAAGGGTTTAATCCTGGTATACCAAAGTCTCCTAAACAGCCATCACACAGTGTGTACATACATGGCAAGCCTCCAAACATTACAAACCTGAACAGAAAAACATTACTAAGCTCTAATTAGACTATAACTAGGGCTGAAACAATCGGATTAATCGCGTTCAATCGATTGTAGAAATAATCGCCAACTAATTTGGTAATCGGTTAATCGTTAAATGGAGTGTAGAGAGTTTAAAACATACCTTTAGCTGACAGATCTACCCACTTAGAGCAGTAATCAAAATTGTAAAAAAAAAAAAAAAAGTAAACTTAAATAAATTTTTTAAATTTAAGATTTTGAAAAAAAAAGTCTGTCAATATGCTCTATACAGAACTCCTCAAGTCGAAAAGTTTTAGTTTCACCTGGTTTAATTCAATATAAAATCTTTTTTAATTAACCTTTTGCTATCTGATTATTAATCGATTAATCCAAAAAAATTAATTGATTAATAATCGATGTGCAAAACAATCACTAGTTGCAGCCCTAACTATAACTGTATGCTTTGTTCAGATGAGACAGGGGAGATTGAGATTTACCAATTCTTTCTCTAAACACATGAAGATTTTTTAATACAGAGCAAAATATAAATAAGTGGGAAAGTAGCAGATCCAGAAAGGAAAGTGTATGGTGTAGAATCTGTGATGCTGTGGGCCTGTTTTTCTAAAATCAAAGTGAATATTGCTGGAGGGCATCGCACATAGAAACCCTTAAAATCCTGAGAGATCTTTAATAAATAAAAAAGGTTAAAGGAGTCCGTTTGTCGTCTAGAAATGGGAGGAAACTTGAGTAGGTGTGATCAATAGTGCATAGTTGATTATACCTCTCTCTATGCATTATCCTTGTGAGATGAGTGCTGATCTTTTGAAAAACAGTGGATGTTCAAGTAGGCAGAGCCAGGGAACCAACGGTTGTGCAAATAAATATTTTTAAAGCATTTACTTCTTCTTTTCCTATCTGTCTTCCTCCACAGTAATCAGACAGGAAATGGGCAGCGGGAGGGGAGGTGAGGGGGGGGTGGGCTGTACTCCAATCTTACATCATAAGAAAATACTTCTTATTATGGGACATCTTCCATTATGAAAATCTTATTTGAGTTATTTTTATCTTTCAAAATGAGATTATGCTCCTGCAGTAAAAGACGTTTAATATCTTAATGCTTTTCATCATCTTTAAATCTATATTTGAAGCAACACAAATTAATGCAAAACTGAAACTAGAACAGTTTCCCTTTAAGCAATGATTTTATTGGCTTACTGAAATAATGAGCACGTTGTTTTTTGGTGCAACTGGTCAAATGGGGGCCAAGAGTCACACTGTAAAAAAGTCAAACAACAACAAAACAGTGTGTTCTTTCTGAGGGCAGTGGTCCATCAGTCATGGTCACAGGAACTCAGTCTATCCCGAGCAAAACAAAACATCAAGAGGCTTCAGAAGATGACTGATGCCGCTGTAATGTCAAGAATTAAGGAGAAATTAAACAATAGGTGACCTAATGTTACGGAGCAACGAAGTTAAGGCTGCAGAGGAAAAAACACAACATGTGACCCCATATTACTGAGAAGGAGGAAATAATTAGAGGTTAATGCAAAGGATCTCCTTACCAACCAACACAAGGAGCTGGTTAAAAAAGGAAGTGCAACTGGGGACGAGCGCGTGGGATGTCTTCACGTTAACATATCACCAGAACGATTGACAATTAGGAGGCCTACTTATTTTGATGATCCTCCCAGAAAAATAACATCCTCCACTATACCTTTAATAGTTAGACTTGTGTTTATAATCTGGAGTTAAACAAAAATCCGAAATAAAAGCTCAAATCTAATAAACATCTAAATGCAACTATGAAATATTTCAGTTACACACTATTTCCATAGTATGTAGTTGCTGTTCATCCTTTGGAAAAATCATCTCCGGCAAAACAAGACAGAGCATGACCTCTAATTAAACCCAGAACACTAAACAACCTCCTGCTGGTGGGTACCATCTATTGTATTCACATAATCACATTTCCTGACAATAGACTTTGAGCAGATTATAGATAATTACTTGAAGTCATTGTACTTTTAATGCTCTCTTTATACTCTCTTTATCCCTAAGGCAGGTAGAACCTCACACAGGGTATGAGTCCGGTGGTCTATGTCAGAGGGCTTTTTCATCAACCTTAAAGGGTAAAAAAATAAAATAAAAAATAAAAACACAAAGTGGCAAAAGTGCAAAAACTATGAAACTGATATTTCATACTCCAGAAAAGTACTGAATGGGAACCGGAAAGTTCAACCAGGATGTTGGTTAATGTGAGAAAAAAAATCTGAATGTTTAAGGAACATTTGTTATTATCCAATGCTGATTTTAATATTATTACGTGATTAAAAAACTAAATCCAGTCACCTAAAAAGAAAGTGATCAATTCAGGAATAATAGGAAGAACTAAAAAAAAAATGTTTTTTCAGTATTTTAGTCACGAATTCCTACAACAGCAGAGTCATAGCATGACTAACATGAGCAGAGAAACAATGGGACCCAATCTAACAAAAACACATTAAGGATGAAAATGAGTCAGATTGAGAAACAGAGTCGGGTTTTTGTTTTGTCCACAGAGATACTGTTTCTTATTAACTGGTGTAGAGCAGAGCGTTAGGGTTCTGTAGCATGATCAGCATGAGGTGTGCCGGGATCCAATAATCTCCACTGACCTTTTAAGCTCGGTGATGAGCAGCGCCGTGCAGGGGATGCCCAGAGTCATGAGCGACAGTGAGTTGACCACAGGTTTAACAAAAGCCAAAGCGGTGGTGATCCCAGACAGGATGCCGATGACCACTTTGAACCTCAAACTAGGCAGAGAAACAAAAAAAGTAAAAATATGAGGTGACCTCTGGATGGAAACCTAAACAGACTATTTTTTTCAGTTAGAAATCACACTGATAACACATTCCTGTCTTTTGGTTCTAAATTGTTGAGATAAATTGTCTTCTTTTAAAGCAAATCCAGTTTATTTACACTAGTTTTATTTTAGAGAAAAACTAATTTTGTGTAGTTCCAGTTTATGCTTTTAGAGATGTTAATGTTTTATCTAATAGCTGTTCTTTTTTACTTTTTAATGAACCCCCATGCTCTTAACCCAACTGCTGACGAGCTATAAGCAGAGAAAACATAACATGACAGCCTGCAGCGGGAGAGAACCCATCAAGTCTCTGTGACAATACAAGAAAAAGACATGTGATGCTTCTTTTAGTGGTGTCAGCTATCTGGGACGTTCCTATATTTAGATACAATGAGTCATAATATTAAATGCGTCATGAGACAAGCCAATGACCCATAGTGAACTCCAGATGTCAACCTATGTCACTTAAAATGTTTTTAAATCCCAGTTAGAATCTCTAAAACCCCGTTTTTAATTAGTCCCTATCAACATACCGGTTTCTCCTGAACATCTTTGGCATGTATCGCTTGGGAAACCACATGGCGATGGCACACATGAGCACCCAAAGGATGGCCAGCTCATCCAACATTTGGCCGAGGAAGCTGAGTGTGGCGTGAAAATATGTTGAACCGATGCCTGTGAGAGGGAAAGTCACAAAGAATGATGACAGGGGTTTATAAGCGGATTGGTGGTCGACTGAAGGAGGCGCCTCTTTCTAAAAGGCTACTGCTGTTAGAATTGAAAGTTAGAGGAACATCTCACCCTAAGGTGAAGCAAGACCAGAGATTATAGTTATGATAATTGCTTGGCCACCAACAGTACAAGCTGACATATTACCCTTCAAATGGATCAGAGGCCTCATACTTATTTCATTTCACGTTATAAGCAGAACTATTGATGCAGACAGATCATTTCCTTTCTGAACTCATTTATTATGCATTTACCAGAAGCTATTTAGTCTCCATGCAGTACTCCACAATTTTAAGAACTATTTATGAATAGAAACCGCTATACTTTTTAACAAAACTCAGTTACAACCCGGCAGTGGGACTACATTAAAGATATTATTACGGTTTTAGGCAGAGGTCTAAAAAGGTATGGGATTGGATTAAAATAGGGTTTTTTCCCACCTGTAACTGCACACTGCTAGTCAGATGGCTGCATAAAAGGCACCTTAGACTTTTTCTCTCAACAAAAGTTATTTTGCTGTTCAGAAATATTTGCAATCCTTAAAGGAGAACGCCGTGTTTTTATATTGGACCCTTGATTTTATGTTATTACATCATGTTCTACTCAACCATAGGAGTTTTGTGTCATTTGGAGCTGTTCTGAAGATATTCAGTTAGGTTATATCCAAGTAACGTCTTCCTATGGGCAACGACTTGAAGGCACAAACTAAACTGTTCATGATTTATTCTTTATGGTACGCCAGCATTCATAACATGTAGGCGAATCACTGTCCCCTAGACATCAGCGGTTATATTTTTTATATTTATATTATTTTAAACAAAGCAGAGTGTTTACGTCATCCGTGCGCCGGACTGGAGTTGTGTCAGGCAGATCGGGCCACAGGCGGCTATGCTCAACGCCTTCTATTCATTCGGCTATCTAATCTGAATTGTATAATTCCATTTAGAGAGCGAGATCATCTGTGGTAGCAGCACTAGACATCTTCCAGGCATGTGAGTAAAACTAGCAGCAGTTCAGCGGACAGGATGAATGAACGGTAGTCGGCGCGCGCCAACACATTTCCAGATACAGGTAAAAAACATAAGACTGACAAGTTTGTCCTCTTTCGGCTTCTCTAATCAAAAATGCCAACACAACATAGCCTCTCCATTATGTGCACCACCCCTTATGTATTTATAAACTACTAGTTCTAAGTCATGACAACGCTCTCCTGTCCTGTTTTATCTTTAGCAAACTAGACGTTTGCTAAAGAAAAAAATAACATTGTTACACAATGTCCCTTTAAAAATGAGCCAGCTGTTAAAAATTATGAAAGCTAGGTGTTTTTATTTTATTTTATTTTAAGAATATTTGTTAAATATAAACCTTCAGTAGCTATGAATAAATGATCATGTATCTAGGGTTATAGCTCAGCAGCTGCATGAAGAGTTACTGTGAATGTGAAACACAAGAGCAGTAGGGCTGGGCTGGACTCTTTTGTTATCACTGTCCAACAGAACGTATCTGATCTAAGTAATCTCCTGTCCCAACAAAAGCTCTGAGAGTCGCCATCTTTTTAACAGAATTTTTATCCAAAGACCCATTGCTGTCATCACTTAGGCCTCAATCTGGGTGTTTTATTTTCAATAACCCACATTTTCTGATCCTTTTAAATGTAGATCAAACAAAACAAGGACATAAGGAGGAGATTCGTATTTCTATAATTTGATTATTTATTTAAAAAGTTAAACCTGTGTAAAATTAAACCTCAATTCTTGAAACAAACGAGCAATAACTGTTAATTCTTTCAAGTATAAATTAACAATCCTTGCAGTATGGGTGAACCCTTTAAGAACAGAGTCCGATCTTTGTGCTCAGGTCTGAGATCTCGTCATCTAAAGATGAAGATCCGAGGAAATTAATTGTTTTCTCTTTAGAGTTGATTAAAACAGCCTGTTCAGTGTTTCACACCCCCACTGACTGAGGTGACCTCCCAGTGGATGGGGTCAGGCTATCTTTGCCGAGTATGCAACCTGTGTTTTCAAACAGCACTAAGAGAACAAGGCCCTCTGTCTCCATTTCCATACAAACAGTGTCAAACCATCTGCAATCTCTTAGCTTGGTTTGCAGGACAGCATAACACTGCAAACAGGTAACAATTCTGCATTCAAACCGTATTTGTTTAGTAAAGAGGATGTGATCTAAAGAGCATCTGTGAAAAATGTTGTTTACAATTTACAGTTAGATGGAATAATTTTTCAAAGGGCTGCTAAACCTTAAGAAAACATGTAATAAATTATGTGATATAATTAAGTAAAATGTTCTCTTTTTCTTATATCCAGTCCCCCTGTCTTTTGAGTTTCAGTGAAAGTTTAAGGAGGAGGAAATACATTTTCAGCATGCAGAATTTGCAAGGCAAATACTATACAGAGCAGGCATAAGACCAATACAACATTGCATGCATGGAAATGCATTGCAATGTAATCTGTGTGATCTGACATTTGTTAGATAATTTAATTGTTGGGGAGATAATCAGGGGGGAGAAAAAAAAACACAAACTTTTAGATTTTCTCAGATAGTGAACTTTGAGCAACAAAGGAGAGCAAATTAATCAAGGACCAGATGGTGTAAATGTCCCCCACCCAAGCAAATCAGCTTCTGGTCTGGGATTACATCCGCAGAGAGCAAACTGAGGAAGATTAAGCAGAATAACTGGTGGCAAGTCCAAAAAGTCTCTGCAGCAACCGACCAGCCACCAATAAAGGCAACCACGCATGTGCACAGAGAGGCTGTTGCTATTTTCTGCTTACCAGAGTCTGTTTGCAGCCATAAACAAACAACTTGTTTCCGTTTTTAAAGGAATGAAACGTCCTGTCTGCACTGCTCATCCTCACTGTGAAGAAGTGTTGAACTCACCGACCACCACCAGCAGGATCCAGATGAGGTAGATCCCATTGTTGAAGTGCTGGGCATATTCACGGAACAAAAACATCAGTATAGGAGGCAAAACAAAGAACAAGATGTTGCTGATCTGAAATGGAATAAAGAAACAAATAGAAGATTTAGGGAAACATTAAACAACGTGTTGATCACTGGGTTCAGAAGAACAGCTGAAGTGTAAATGATTACATTTAAACCAGATTAACGTAAACAAAAAAACTGGATCTGGATCTGATAAGAAGAATAGTTCTTGGTAAAAGGGGGATGTGAGGACTGTTGGAGAGAAGAGCATCAGAGCAAAACAAAGGCAGAATAGATGGCGGTTGTAAACAAAACTGCATGAGAGACGCTGTTGATTAAACACTGACCGTGTTGTAAAATTCAGCGATGCTGGGGTAGATGAGGTAATTCCCTTCACACCAGTCCACATCCGAGCTGCCAGCCTGCAACTGGTCCCAGAAAATCGGGATAGCGTTGCTCATGTCTGGACTAGTTCTGGACAACAGAGCGCTGCGCCGATCAAAGCAAAGCAAAACAAAGCAACAGCTGAGGGAAAGTCCGCCAGCTCGGAGGCTAAAGATTAACAGTTTAAAGGCTGAACCGTGGATGGCTGTGAGAAGAAGTGTTGATGTCGGGAATCGCTCCTGTGTTGCATTTTCTCTCCGTCCTTCTTTTCGCAAAGCCTCCTATCTTCTGCTCCGTCCTCTGACAGCTGCTAAACTCTGGCCTCAAAGAGTGAGCAAGCGAGTCAAGAGGACTCCCCCCTCCCGGCTTCCGTCTGCAGTGAAACCGGAAGTGCTTGGATTTAATCAAAGATACAAAAATTGTCTGTCTGATACTATCCAAATAAAGTATTTTAGGATTACTTGTTTAAATCCCGTCTGATAAGGCCGATGCTGATTTTCATTTTAAATTAATTTAATTAACATTAAATTCCATGCAAAACGTAATAAGGTGCAAATATTTATTCGCCTATTCTATGCTTAAAATCTTAAAATATTTATTGTTATTAATATCATTATTATAATTATTATTTTCATTATTATCATTATTGTTGTCATTGTTATTAACATAATTATTATTTTCATTATTGTTATTATCATTATTATTATTATAACTGCAGTTGAAATTATTTAATAATTTCTTTCTCTCCTCTCCAGGATATTTGTTTCAAAAATCATTAGGATGGTTGTTGTGTTTGGTCAAAAATTGTGGTATTTCTTTGCTTGGATGCGTTTAATAATGAGGAAACGTTTGAACATTCTGACATGCCAGATGTGCCATTCAGAGCTGCTTGAAGGAAAAATCAGCAATTCCAACTACTGGTGAATTGGTGCATCTCTGATATGAATCCCTAGATAATAAGTTTCCATTCGTTCCTTAGTCGTCAACAGAGCAATCAGGCTTTACCTGTATGTTTTCTAGCTTTTGAAGAGTTTCTTATTTACATAGCTCATCATTACAGTGATCACACAGAAAATGTGCTTTTTAAACTTTACAACTCTCATTATTTTATCAAGAAATACTCACTGGCAGAAAAAAATAAATAAATAGAAAAAAATTGGGAAATAGAATTTGAATAAAATACTATCAGTTTCCTTTAATCTCTGAATGGCAACCAACTTTCAAGTATCTAATTATATACAAAAGGATATTCATGGTCAATATTGTGACAAACACAAATAAATTTACAATCCAGATTGCAATGTTTTGTGTCGGATCTTAAGATGAGCCTGTATGATTTTAAGAGGTGAAAAATAAGAAATCAATTACAACATTTTTTCAGAAATCTATAAGAGTTATCCATAAAAAGATATCCTCGTTCCTAGTGAAATCAAAACATATTGATGTAGAACCCTATAACACTTCAACATTTTCTACATTCTGCAGATAAAATCCTTGATAACTTGATGAACTTAAATGTGTATTATAGAACTATTCCTTTCAACACACAAAAGTAATGGAGAAAAAAACGTTGAAAAGAAAACATAGTTTCAAGTGTAGTTTTTAAAGTATGTTTTACTTTTAGTTTACATTGTTACTGATTCTAACTAATCAATTTCAAACATATTCTAATTCAGACTTAGAGTATTATAAGTTCTTGTAAAAAATGTCATATTTTGAAAAAGTTTCATCCACTCAATCTTTTTAGTGTGATTACATTATACTCATTACTAAATGATACCAGAATTTGCGTATACAATTTTTAAATCTTTCTCCTATCTCCATAAATCTATGGGTGAAAGATGAGGTACATGCTGGACAGGTCAACAGTCCATCAAAGGGCAACACAGAGACATGCAACCATGATCACCCACTTATAGGAGACACAAATTAACCAATTAGTCATGTTTCTGGACTGTGGGACTAAGCCGGCATAACTGGAGAGAACTCATGCATAAATAATTATTTTATTATTGCCGTACATTATATTTTTTATGCCGCATTTTATTATTTTATTGTGTTTTATTATTTTTAGCTATGTCCAGCGCTTTGCTTAAAGCGCTATATAAATAAAAATGATGATGATGATGATGATGATGAAATAAGGAAAACACTGACACTGGTTCTGCTGGAGGTTTCTTCCGGTTAAAACACGATTTTCCTGTCCACTGTCGATGCATGCATGATCGGTTGGAGGGATTGCTGTAGAGTCAACAACACAATGGAACTGCCACATGCTCTTCCAGGAGGAGCAAATTCTGCAAAGTTAATGAATCAATATAATCAGCTCTGTTTTCTTAGATAGAAAGCATTTAACCAATCTGACTTTATGGTCTAATTTAATAGTCTCTGTAACATGCCTTCCAAACTCCATGCAGAAAAACCATAGCCCTGGGACCAAGAATCGGTAAGACAACAGTGCAATAAACTTTACTTTTACATAAATATCTGTAACATCATTTTAGGACAGTCTCCTTTTACACCTACTTGAGTTGAAGTATGATGAGGTAGTAGAATTTTTGGGTATACTCTTACCCTCTTGTAACTGAAATACACTGTTATTGTAGGCTACAATGCCTTGGGCTAATCTGCTCTCTAGCGCTCTCTGGTGGCCAATATTGCTATCGCTTGAAACTCTATTTTTCAATAAAAAGTTAAACATAATACTACCAATTAGCTGATAAATAAATAAAAAATGTAACTATTCAGCAAGTTTGTTCTAACAAAAATGTATTTAAACTGGACTCCACTTTTCTCTTGATAAAGACAATTTTATAGAAAATAGACAAAAAAAGAGAAAAGAAATATTCCTTTTCTACATTCTTTTTTATTTTTGTCTCTGCATTTTGCATGTTATTTTGGGAACATGTCATCTTGTTTGCATAATATTAATAAATAATACATTCTTTGGTATTTTCTACAAAAGAGGAAGAGCAGATGCAATATGAGTATAAGTTAAAAGGTTATTTGTAATTATTAAGAATGTGAAATTAATTATGTAAATAATTCAACAGGTATTATCAACAGTTTACATTTCTCATTTCTCATTTCAGTTATTCACGTATATCTCATGTAATTCCTTTCTGCAGATGTTAAGATAAAAATACATTTGAAAACTGAATGTTCATTTGACAAATATTGTTCAATGAAACACCTAAATTCAACATATATGTGTTCATGTTGCACGATTGTACCATAAAAAATTCCTAGTTTGTGAACTCCTTCACTAACAATGGCAATAAACCTGAATCTGATTCTATTGGAGGTTGGCAACAAACGTTTAGTAGCATTACCGCCACCTACTTATATGGAGTGTGGTTCGTGATGGACTATCTACTAATAAACATATAGATTCTACCCATCTATATCATACACACATTCACCCTCTCTATAATCAAATTCTATGAAATAACTTCATTTTCTTTAAAAAATCGAATAATTATTTGTCTGTTTACTTCCCAAATTCTTCCTCAAAATATCTAATAAATTAATCTTTTCCTGAATAAATTCAAACTCTCTCCTCATATATCTTCTCTGGCTTTCATATTTATGACATTCCAGTATAACATGTTCTATTGTTTCATATTTTCCACAGTAATCACACTTGCCAGTAGTATGATTTTGAATTTTGAAAAGTGTATAATTAAGCCCTGTTTACCCAAATCTTAACCTTGTTATCACTCTCTCCTCCTTTCTATTTCGTCTTCCATTTCTTCTTATTCCTACCATCTTCTGGATTTTATAAAACCATCTTCCTGTTTTTTCTTCATCCCACCTTTTTTTTTGCCATTTTTCCATCAGTTTTTCTATAATAATACTCTTTCCCTCCGATTTACTAGTCTTAACTGTAAAGCTAATAGGATTTTGAATTGCCCTCTTTGCCATTTTATCTGCCCTCTCGTTTCCTTCTACTCTAATATGTGCTGGAACCCACACAAATACAACAATCAAACTCATATTTTTTATTCTGAATAAAGTATTAAATATTTCTAATAAAATGTCCATCCTGCTATCTGACTGATTATATTTTAAACTTAATAATGCAGAGCTTGAATATGAACAAATTACTGTTTTTAAAGGTTTTATGTCTTCTACCCATTGTAAAGCTAATAATATTGCCAACATTTCCCTTGTTTATACTGATAATCCATCTGAAATTGGTTTTCCTAATTTTATATTGAATTCTGTTATTACAAAAGCTATTCCTATTTTCCTTGTTATTTTTGATGCATCTGTATAAATGTGAATATATTGATAATAGCTGTCTAAATGTAACTGTACTAAATTAATATCTACCGTGTACGATTTATCTTGTTTCTTTACCATTAGTGGCATTCTACTATTGCTTCGTGTAGAATCCATGGTGGTACGAGGGGCGTTCAATAAGTAATGCCCCTGACCCATTTCCCATAGTAGGAGATTAATGAAACTTGGCACAGTTATAAGTCTTTCTCTACATAGGAACCACCCAGAGTTATGCATTTCTCCTATCGTTTAATGCAGCTCTGGACACAGTTTTTGTAGAAGACCCCAGGTTGTTCCTCCAACCATGTCGTAACTTCAGAAATCAAGGCTGCATCAACCTGGGAGTCCATCTGGCAGACACCTTATGCACATGCAAATGGTCATGAATGATAGTTTCCACAGACCCTGTACTAATCTTGACCTTGGGCTATTTGGCAAACAGTAATGCGTTGATCTTCCAAAATGGCTGCCTCAACTTGACGGACAGATGCCTCATAAATGGCAGAAGAGAGACGACCTGGTCTGGAAGCTGTTTCCACAGACTTTTGGCCATGTTTGAATTCATTATGCCAGCGTTTCACAAGGTCATATGGTGGGGTATCATCACCATAAGTTTCTTTCATTTCATCAAAAGTCTCCTTTGGCGTGCATCCTTTCAAATACAAAAACTGGATCACTGTGCGACACTCAACTGGCTCCATTTCACACCTGACTCAGTTCAAACACCTGTAAATCAGAAACCACAATTAGTTCAGAGCTGTTTTTTCGCAACATATCCCATAGAAATGTCAATTATTACACATGCAAAATTTAATCTAGATCAGACAACTGGATGTGTGTCAGGGGCATTACTTTTTGAACGCCCCTCGTATAACTGATATTGGTGTTGTCTGAGTGATTTCTAAATTAGTCATTTTAAATTCTTTTATTTTGTTTTCAATTGTCCATCCAAAATTCCTCACTTCTTTATTTTCTTTTTCCCAACATGGATTTAAAATTTCCCGAGTTGGATGATCAGTTATAACCTTGTACATTTAACCAATCATTTATT